ATTTTAATCGGTACTTTTTGCATGCTTTTGGAAGGAAGGAAAATGAAAATATGGTTGTTGGTGCATGCTGATGTGGTTCGGGTTGTTGTGGGGATTAGATGGGTCCCTTTTGTTTCTGGTGGCGCCTTAATTGTAATTATTATGATATTTGGTTTAACTTTGCTGTGTTTCTGTGTTTGTCCGGGTCCTGTCGCAGCTTTTTCTGCTCCCACTGAGTTCTTGTACCAGTCTGTCTTGCAATTTGATATCTGTCCGTATGTCTTGCTGCCTGTTGCCCTAGCGTTTGTCTTTGCTATACTATCATTTATACCTTGTGTCAGTTTAATCATTAATGGATCAACCTTGCATGTCTTTTCTGTTTTTATTTTAGCTTTATCTTTCATTGCTCTTTCAAGTTACCTTGTGGTGGTTGGCACTCTGTTTTGACTTTGTTTTATTGTGTAACTACGTGTGTCCATTTTGTATTTCTTATTTCCACTGCATGCATGCAGTACAAGATGGTTTTAATTCTGTCCCTTTGTTGGTTGCTTTTCTATCTGTTGTTTGTCTGTTTGGTTTCTCAGTTTGTCCAAGTCCCTCTGCTTTGTCCGTTTTGCTCCTCATTGTGTATGTTCATCAATTTGCTGTTTTCTTGTTTAAATTTTTTACTTCTTTAACTTACATTCTTAACTTTATTGTACAGTGAAATTTAAGTGGCTTCATTTAGATTTGATATTTTTATCTCAGGCTCGTTTGACTTGTGTATTTAAGATTTTTAAAGTTTCATATTGGTTTAGGTCGTTTCTAAATTGTCATTCTTAATTTAAATTGTTATGACTGGTTTATTATATTTTTGTATGAAAGCACCTAGAGCGTAAGTTTGGTGGATTTGGCTCAAGCAAAAACTTTTTGTTATTGTTAAATACAGACAAATGTCCCCCTCCCATCCGCCTTTGATTTAGCTGATGCTAACGATTCGAAATGTGCAGTGTGCTTCGGTTTAATAATGAATTGGCCGGTAGTATCAGTAACCCAAGGTGTCATCATTTAAAGGAACCAGGAAATAGAAACGTTTTTATACATTTCACTAAAACCCTTGAAATTACATCTTTGGGTTTCAATTAAATTGATTTTAAAATTTTGTTTTGCAATTTTAATCCATATTTTGCTGTTTTTGGTTTTCGTGCTAATGACATTTGCATATTTATAAGCCGAACTATGATGTCATCCAAGGCACTGAATCTCACTCATGTTGCACTGATTTGTGCACAGAAAATTTCCAGATTTTTAAAACCACTGCTATGGCAGATTTTATTTTCTTTGGCAATATATTGCTGTGTAAGTATATGGCAATAATCCAGCAAAAATCCTTTTTACAGAAGTGTTCCAAGATAGCAAATTTGTGGTTCACAATTTGAACATGAAAACATGTAACCTGAACCATGTCTTCCTGGATTTACATCAAAGCAAAAGCGCCCTCACTTGTCCAGAAATGCTTGGCCAATTTTTAATGTTGGAAAAAGTGCACCGTTCAGTTCACGTAACTCAAACAGATGTCAGTCTTCATACATGGAAGAAAAGTACAGAGATACACAAAATGTGATTCTAAGAAAAACTTATTTCCTGGTTCCTTTAATGATCGTTGTGTAGTACTGTAGCCGCGTTTAACTGTCTTTTTTTCTTTTTTTTTTTTTTGGCAATGAGAGTTGGTGAATAGACGAGAGACTGCTTCTACTAACGGAAGTGCCCGTCACAGTTGGGAGAAAATGTTTTCCTGGCATCATCTTCATCATTTTCTATCTATTTTTACATTTCATTAAAGCATTTAAAAACTGTTTTTATGTGCAACAAATTAGTTGAATATAGAACTCCACTTTAGCTGTACAAAAATATTGTGTAAAATATTCAACTGGGCGTGTAATTGCCTCGTATAGTTAGGTATATAGTGCTTGTTATTTCTGCCACATTTTTTTCGGTGGAATACAGACATAACTTAATCTGGATTTTGCCTTTTAAAGGTTAAGTTAGCCTTTATAAAGCTGTCACGATTTCAACCGAGCGGCAATGCCGAAAATTGAATGAATGGAGACCAGAACGCGCATACGTTGGAAGGTTGTTAAAATGACGTCACATGCACTTGTATAATATTACATGTACTCGCCACTCCGTCAAGTGCAGATGAGGTTGAAGCCGGCGGGAGGGTCCCCCCCCACACACACACACTTTTTTGTCTCATAATGGGGGCCCCCACTATAAGAAAAAAAAGTGGAAAGAGAAATAAAAAATAACTGAAGTAAATTTAAAAGTAAGATAGCATCCCGAAGATTATTCTGATATGCACGAGTATCATTATAGGCGTATGTTATGCAATGTTTCACGATCGTCTACACTTGGCCTCAATAATGAGACATTTAAAAATATCTCTGGCCTGAACCCCCCCTCCCGCCGAAAAATTTCTAGACCCGCACGGCCCCTGAACAATGTCGTGTGTGCTATGATATCGTAGTGACGAGAACTGCTCGTCGGAAGAAAAGCTCTGTCATACAAGATTTACCGTTGACCCATTGTGCGCTGAAAACATTCGATGCCTTTTCTTTCTTGTAAATAATAAAAGCTGCCTTTGTTTCAGTTCATTTCATATTGGTTTATTAAAATCCATTTTCGCATAAAAAAATGAATTACAATGGGTTTAACAATCAAAATAAAAAGATTTAAAGAATTAAAACAAGAATTAAACAAAAAAATCTGAAATAGTTACAAAAATATTTAACATTTACCATTACAGTTTACACTAAAAAAAAATGAACCATTTAACGTGACTAATGACCAACATTAATATAGGAACACTACTAAAACACGTCCGTTGCAATTTACACTTCAAAGATGAAATTACTATGATCTTAAAAATTTCAGTCACATGTAACCTTTAACATTTGTTTGCCTGTAAGTTGCAAATCGGCTTTCTCCTTCCTTTCTTGTTTGTTTATTTGTTTGGTTGGTTGGCTGGCTGGCTGGTCGCGGCTAATTGGATTGGAATGTCCACCCAGGGAGTGGGCCACGTGGCCTGTGGTCAGACACAGTATTTTACCATAAAGCTACAAGTAAACTTAGGACTCGCAAAATGAAAAGAAAAACTTCTGAAATGATAGCTCGATGATATTCAGACTATTGAAAAGTAACAATCAAGAAAACTAATATAAAAGTAATCTATACATTATAATCTGCATGAAACTGGGGCAATCAAGGCAAAACATCATATGGTTTCGATGAAATATCCAGAAGTAAATGCACTCTCTGCACCAGAATATGGTTAGATTTTGGTCGAGAGTGACCTGCATGTTTCATACAAGCAAAAAGTATAGTTGAGCAGAGCACGTGCAACAACTGACAATAAAACTCGACTCACAAAACTCATTAAAAAATCCAAACTTTAAACAAAAGATTCTTAACAATCAAAACTATCATTGGGATTCATCAAACTTCTAAATGATATCAAAAAGAGGGCAAATTTCCTTACCTGAAAAGGAGAGAACCAGACAAGGTGGTTGAACAGCACTGAAGCATGCTGGACCACACCACCCAGACCAGCGTACCACCCCATCCAGGGTCACTCCACTTCCAAGAAGGGGATCTGTGTACAGTAAGCACTGGTGTAGTGGGCTAAACCAAGTTGAAACCCCAACAGCAAAAACAAAAAGTGGTTGGGGGTGTGTCATACAAAGAAAACAATAAAGAGTAAAAATTTAAGGGGACTAGTAAACAAAACAGGGGGGGCACACCTCTTACATCTGGAAACATTTTTCTAGGTGAATTTTTACACAGACCGTAAGTTATCGATTCTGTTGACTTAACCAGTCCCTGCCGGGGATTCCGGATCTGGCCACGTAATATGCGTGGCCAGGGTCTCCGAACTC